GCATCTTGATTTTTTGCAACTTCATATGAAGTGTTTAGTTACATAAAAGGTATTTGAATGGAGTTGATGACTTCCTAGTTTATATCCCTGGCAGGAGTTAGGGGTTAAACTAATTTGATTACTTTATGCCACTTCCAGTGAAGAGTAACAAAACCGTTGCCATTTAACTATGGAATAATGGCCTGGAAATTTTTTCGTGGTGTATTTGTTTTTGGTTTTTTTTCTTTTTCCCTTTCAGATTACAGAACGTAAATTAGAAATATTGTCTTTTAGCAGATGAATGTTTTATACTGTAAAAACTGAATCCATTAACTTTTATGGACAGAAAACCCTAACCAGAAGTTGCTTGAGGACAGATAGTACAAGGTTTCTTTACTTATTTATTGCTGCAGATTGACATGACAGTTCTCATGGGGTCTATTAACCGATATCTCTGGGTACTAGAATATCTTCAAATGCATTTAAAAATAAACTAATTATCTGCTGCCATTCTGCAAATAGGTTGCAACTCTGTTTAGTATTTTCAGCACAGATTCTCACACTGTTGACATAAGCAGAAACAATGATGCTCTGGTCGCCCTCCGCAGTGGCTTTATGCCAGTGTAATGCCACTACTATGGATTTACTGTATAGTACTACAAACAGAATTATTCTGTTTGAAATTTGATTCATCTTTAGAGATTTTAACTATATCTGCTAATTTCATTTCCAAACCAACAAAAATAAAGAATAAAATATGGAAGAGACGTTTAGGAGCCTACTATATAAGCTATGATATAAATACATTACAGACCCGAATGAACGGGTATGTTGAAATACAAGTATCTTTCAAAGCGTGAATAACCTAATAGCATGCTAATTTCAGTGGGCGTTCTGTGCAATATACTCACATATGTGCTCAGCCTTACATATGTGCTGTAATTAGAAAAAGCTGCAAACTGGAACTAGTAAAATTTAGAAAAGTGTAGACTAGACGGGTATCCATTTGCTTGTGTAAAGACTGGCTTCTGAGACATCTGACTCTTTTGGTAAGAGTTCAGTCTGTGTATCAGCTGTGTAGCTGGCTTCTTGGAAGCATCCTTCTACAGAGCGAATGAAATGGTTCTGCTTAGGTCATTGCTACCTCTAGCCCTTGACTTGCCAGCTCGCAGCTAAACCAGTTTGCTCTCACAATGATTTAATAGCAAATTTTTTTGACCAGGTAAAAGTCAGCAATTGTTAATTGCTTACTGAAGTCTGCTTCCACTTAAGGGCAGGGAGAATTTTCGTGTTGATTTTTCAACAGGAATAGTTATTGTTGCACTTACTCCAGATATACAGAAAGCAGAATTTTGCCCTTTTGGAAATATGCTTGCCTTTGCCAGAGCTAGTGCCCTGTGCATCAGCAGTTTCACATGAAGCAAAATATTAACCTTTGGGATAGCTCCAAAATGGTTGTAAATGTAATCCGATAAACAGGTATTGCAATATATCGATGTTGCCTTGCATTTGTGTAGGTACTGATCATTGCTGTTGCAAATAACATGTCAACTCTTAAAAAAATTCCTAAAGAAACTCTTATTCTTCCAGCATTTACAATCTATTTACAAAGGCTTATTTCTTTTTTTTTTTTCTCTTCTTCATGTACAGGTAGTGGCCCAATTGTGGATCCAGACGTTTATGGTATATATTTGATTTCCTTTTTCTTTTCTTTTAATGATAGAAATGAAGGAACCGAAACTATTAAAAGATTGAATGTCAGGCTCATTTAAATTGAAATGGCAGATATTATAGGACAGTTCTAAAAAATACTTTGTATTTTTTGTTCTTCTCCTGCCTTATATTCTTTAAGATACTTGAGGGCAATATGACGTTTACTTACTCTGCTGCTTTTGATACACATTAGGAGAAGCATAAATCCACTGCTACGAATGGTTGCAGTCGATTCTGTAGGATGACAGCTGTCTGATGTAACTCACAGGCATGAGATTTTGTGAACCTTTTGGAGGCATGTCTTGGAGGAAAGAGAGTTCATGATTTCTCCTTATATAACTTAATTTATTTTTTCAGGGATGATTCCATCCTTGTTTTGCCTCCAAAAATGTACCCCTAAATCCCACTTAAAAATGAGGTTGGCACAAGTAAGTTTTCCTGTAGGCAATTTATTTCACCCTGTCCGCTCATTTGTACCTTCCCTTAATCTCTCTTGCATAAGCAGACCATCAGCTCAGTGATATCTGAGTGCATGCCAGAAGATTTGATGACACAGTGTTCACATTTGTTTTTTAGTTAGGTGAAGTGTTTTGGTCTGTGCCTAGTGAAAGCCAGTATGCACTAGAATAGAAGCTGCAGAACGAAAAGCAACTGGCTAGTTTTGCATGATACTTCTGGTATACTTCTGGTGAGTAGGAAAGTCCATCCTAACCACCGTCCTCAAACACCCTTTAGCTTCCAGCAGAAGCTGGATCCTGTTTGGAGTACTTTTTATTTGAACGAAGTGGCCCATGACTCAAGTTTCCTTAAGCTGATTTAAATGTTATTGCTTTGATTCCATTCCATGTCATTAAACTTTAGCAAATGTGCAATTGAAGCATCAGTTTGGCTTTAGGTGCTTAGAAATACTAAAGGATAGCTTCCCCTCCCTCTCTTTCCAAAGTTGTTTTTTTTTTTTCTGGGGGGGGTGGTGGGAAGGTGGTGATGGTTTGCACAACTTCTTACATCTGTTGTATTATATAAGCTGTATGCATGAAGATTTTGATTCTGTGCTGATTATCAAGGTCCTGATGCCTGTGTATGGCTTTAACCATGTGAGTGCCGTGCTTTGACTGACGTGGGTAGGTTTTTGCTGAGATGTGCGCTTCGAATTGGCGCTGGCAGATCACAGCCTGCAAGACCTAGTCCTGATGAAAGCAGCCTTCCTTTTCATTCCTGGCTTTTCTTTCTGCTGTTTGAAACTGCTGCCTTTCATCTTTGTTTCAGTGACTCAGTGATTGCTTTGAGAAACACTTTGTAGTCCAGAGTGTTTCCCTAATTATTCCAAATTCCCAAGTCCAGTTAGTGAGGTGAATAAATGAGGCTGGCTGGAAAGCCTAGGAACTGCTACGCTTCTTCAGAGAACCACTGCTGGCATGGCTGACAGTGGGACCCCTGGGACGAGCTCCCCCTGAAGACTTGGTGGTTTTTGAGACAGCTCTATCTCTTTGCTAACCTGTTTACCCACGATTTAGATGATGTTGGAAGGAAGATTTAAAGCACCCTCCCCCTTCTCCCCACCCCCTGCAGGCTTCCCTTTAAAATGCATTTTTTCAGAGCCCCGTGCTAATCATGTTGCGTATGTGCCTAGTGTAAAGGATAGAGGCAGCGGCAGAGGATTTGGTTCTGCCGGGCACTGGGGCTGTCCGTGTGTCTGTCAGTCTGTGGCTGTGGGTGAAGTGAATGGGAGCTGTGAGGTTCCTCCCTGTAAGTGTCAGGGTGCCACAGGGGACCCTGGGCTGGAGTGCTCCATCGCGCGGAGTTTGGTTTGGTCTGTCCCTTGGGAATGGACCTGCTGTGTCCTGCGCTCCACGGGAGGTGATTTCCAAGCATTTTCCGTTAAGTGTTTTGAGCGTACAACGGGAAACAGAAGAACTGATGAGGTCGCAGCAGGCTGCGTGACACTGTGTTTGCTGGGGGCAGGGGGATTCCCAGGGGGATTGCACCTGCCGCAAGCACGGAGCGGTCCCTAGTGCCCCCGGCTCACCTCTGTGGAACCTCTCGGGAAAGGCGGAGAAGAGCGGCTGACCTATCCCCATCTGGGAAGTAGCTGAGAGAAATGAAGTGACTCACCCAGGGCTGAGCAGGAAATCAAATGCAAAGCCAGCTTCTTTGGCTCCAAGCTCACGTCTTCATGCCACGCTGCTTCTTCTAAGCTGGTTGCAAACATGAGAGAGACAGCAGCACTGCAGGACCTGTCCCTGGAGCCCTGAGTCCCACGTGGCATGAGTCAAGAGGCGTGACCCTGTCTGTGTCGGAGCGCTCGGTGTCTGTGTCAGGGATTTGTACCGAAACGAACAGGAATTTGTTTAACTCGGAATTGCTCGGTTTTGGCTGGATAGCTGTTACGCGTGTTTTCCTTGCCTGGCTCACCTGTTTCAGGAGTCTTTGAAGATCTGGCATGAGTTCAAATGCAAGCGCTTCACAGTTATGTGGTGGGGAGCAGCAACGCGACACCAGCCTACTGACCTGGCCTGCTTTAGCTCTTGCCCTTTTTGATATAAAAGTGTGTTCAGCGGATTCGCAGACCAGACCTGAAACATTCTGCATAGTTCTCGTTAGTCCTTCAGGGCGTGATTTCCAGTAGCTTAGTACAGATGGGAGCATAAAGAAAACTGCAGATCGCATTGGCTTTTACCCACTGCTGTTTACAGGTAAAATTAAGAGAAAAAAAATTCCCTCTTGAAACTTTGTATTGCAGAGCCAGAGTAGCAAAGACTCTAAATATTTGTTTTATATGTTGGTCTTATAAAGCTTCTATAAACACAGGGTTGGTCAAAACTAACTTTGTGAAGGTTTTCCCAGCTAATTGTAAAGGAAGCCAAATCTCGCAGGCTGAGATACTTGCTGTAGAGCAGGCTCTGCCTGCAAATGAGTGAATGAAGCAGAAGTCTCCTCCTTTGCTATGGCAAAGCATGCAGTCACGGTGGTGGATGGTCTGCACAACGCCTTGTCGGGTGTCCCGGCTGCTTGCGCGGGTGAGACATTGAGGCAGGGTTTGTGCTGCCCGGAGTAAGGAGTGCTGTTCGTTCGCCTCTCGCTGCTGTTCTGACCGTGCTGCATAGGCAGCTACAGGCGTAGGGATGCAGTGGTGAGTCGGGGAATTCAAACAGTAAAAGCCCAGGAAATTAAATTTTGTTTCTCATGAAAGCTCTCTATCCTTAATATCTATTTGGTCTTGAAAGAGCCCTGTGCTTTGGCATGCATGGTGTAGAGCCACAATAAGACTGTGTGAGCCAATTAGGCAACCTGACTGTACTGACCATAGCCCTGGTGCCAGAGGTAGCTGCGTAGCATCACAGACCAAAAAATCTGCAGCCTGCGGAGTGCTTTGCGGAAAGCATATGTATTCGTGCATGCATGAAAATCAAAAGCCCAGTGCAGCTTGCTGCTAGCATTGCCAGCTGAGCTCTCCAAAATAGCCTTGGGAGCCTAAAGAAGATAAACTTTACTGAGGCGCAGGCCCTTACTCAGCAGCAGCTCTGAGGTTGAAGGGGTTCCTGCCTCTGTAATCAGTAAGAGCTATGCCTCTATGCTCCATTTTTTCAGATTCACAGTTAAAACTTCATCTGTAGGCTTACAACACTGATTTTAATCGAAATGTGTAAAGAAATATGCAGCTAATTGCAAATTTAAATTGCAATGCTGGAGGTGCGTTTTATAATAGATGCAATTATTGCCCTTGTTTGTTTCTTTCATCTGCACACATTACAGTCATAAAGTTGAAATATTGTGTGTATTTCCAGATGTAATCGTAAAATATAGGCATTTTTAAGTTTTATTTTAATGCATGTTTCTCTAAGTTCATATGTACATTATTTAATTATTTTTATCTCATTTGAATAATTTGACAGAAAATCATGGACTGCAAATATCTGTGTTTCATTTTGAAAGAATTATAAATAATTAAACCATGTTCATTCTTTTTGATGATTCTGGATTCACCCCTGCAGACCTGTCAGTGAAATTATTTTCATAAATCAAATTTCTTCATACCATCTCAGACTCTTCATTTTTTAAGGGTTTACCTGTGTGACAGTTCCTAATGCTAGACTGTAACCTTTGTGCACACAACAGTTTTTTTTACTATTTTTTAAATGAAGAAAAACAGCTATTTCACATTTGATAGTAATAAACTAGCTAAAAACCCATCTGCCAAGTTCTTCTCAACTAAACAAAAGTCGCCAAGCTAATTTCTAAGACTGTCCTATATTTGGCTCAATGCAAGACTGGAGAAGTTCAGTGTAGAGGGCAGTCTTTCATTTTTAATGGGAAGTCAGAGCACATAAAAATAGCTTTATGGATGGAGTTCTTATTTAACTCTAGTTTTTCCAGTAGAGATACACATTATGGTGTAGATCACTTCTCTTTTCAAGTTAGTCAGTCACTGCATGTTTGTTCGACTGTCTGCCACAGGGATCCCCCCAAATTGTTCCAGCTACATTAGCAATTGTTAATTGTTTCCAAAGAGCTCAGAGTCCCGAGGGTTGTTAGTGGCCTTACCATCTTAACAGAGCAGACGTCATAAAGACAACCCTTTCCCCTCTTAAGGTTCTGAAATTCTAAAAGCAACCTTTTTTCCTTTCCTAAGAGTATGAAACCACGCCTAACGATCTTGGAGACACCACAAATAACAGTAATCAAATCACTTCTACGGATGTTTCCAACAAAGAGAATGAAGATAGCATCACTGTAAGTATATACGTTGTTTCCTGATCTGTAATCTTGGCGGACTTTCAGGCTATACAATTCACATAACTGCAAAGATTATAATAGGACCCTGAGCTACCAGAACACCGGAGCTATTACTGTGTTGTGATCAAAACTCAGGAAAAAAGGGGAAAAAAAAAGAAAATCAATGCTTCCCACTCTTGCCCTCCCCTCACTTTTTGAAAGAGTGAATCATACTTCCGTCCGACTAAAATTGCTAGGTAATTTGGAGATTGTTATTTGAATTCCGGTCCTGGAGTCAACTCCTCCTTACAGAGAGGATGTGCTGCAATGGACTTTCAAATTCTAATTGTATGTTTTCAAAACATGATTTCCTGTAGGTTTTTGGTCAAATAGTTTGCGGTAGATTTTCATATAAGTAGCTGAATTGGTGAGCCTCCTCCTTTGCTGCCTTGCCTCTCATGCTCTCCTGAACTGAATTGTTGGAAACCGGTAGTGGGAGGCCAACCTGGTTGATACTGCAGTCTCCGTGAAGCAACAGGCAGTAGAGAGCGTGTGCGTTCATGAACCAGAGCGCAGACTGTGAGGTGGGACACTGTGCTAAAAGACTGGGGGGATCCCAGACAGTCTTGTCTGATAACAGAATCATTGAACGGCTGAGGCTGGAAGGGACCTCTGGTCCAATCCCCCTGCTTAATTAAGCAAGACCACTGTGGTTGCTCAGGGTCATGTCCGCTCTGGTTTGGGTACCTCCAGGGATGGAAACTCCGCAGCCACTCTGGGCAATCTGTACCAGTGTGCAACCACCTGCACAGTAAGAAATTTTTTCTTAAATGCTTTTCTTATGTGTTTTCTTATAACATACCACTCTGCTGGAAGGGAAAGGGGTGATATGCACTCCCTCCCACCTGCCTTGTATGTGTAGGATGTTGAAAAAGTTGTTCTCAGAGGTGTTTGAATCTCCGTTCTCTGCAGGATAGAAGAAACCTCAACAAGTGCCTGTTTTCTGTACTCTTTGATCTGAGTGCAAATGTTTCCCAGTTGAAATGAATCTCTTTACCTAACTGGGTTAATCTGAATGTATGCTGAGTGTCTTTGAAGGTAGTTCATCAGAACAAAACAAGCAGATCTGTTTGTGTCCTCTTTTTTTAGGTGTATGTCGTGGTGGGAATTGCAGCACTGGTGTGCACTGGCTTAGTAATAATGCTTATTATTCTGAAGTTTGGAAGACACTCTAAGTTTGGGATGAAAGGTAAGCGGGTTGTTTTTTATACTTTCCAGCATTTTTATGGGTCTTATGAGCTGATACTAAAGGCTTCTGCACTAAGAGCAGTCACAGTAACTAGATTAAGTGCCATCGCATTTAGTGTTTTTATTCATCAGGTAAGCAAGGGCAGAGGCAGATATAGACGGAGCGTAGAATTTTGGATCAAACTCTTCTGCTTCTCTTTTTTTTCTTATGACAAATCCTGTTTCTCTCCCTTCTGTTGCAAAGACCCCTGGGACACTTCCTGGAGTAAATTATTACTTGAGTCAGTGTAGGTAGGAAGAAGATGGGAAATGAAATTAATTCTGATATGAGTTCGATTGCAACAGTTTGACGAGAACCTATGCTGTGTGTGAAAGGTACTTCAGACCACACTACAATGTCACATTAAGGTGATAGATTCAAGGGGAGACAACGGCAAGAGCAGAAGATGCATTTACAGTGGATCCTGTCATACTGTTGCTTTCTGACAGATGAATTTTCTTGAGCTTCTGTTTGTATCTTGGGAATTAGCAGCTGGAGAGAGTGGCGAGTGCTCGAGTCCCTGTAGAAGGGGAAATCTCAGCCCTTACATTTGTTCATTTATTTATTTTGCAGCCAGATGGAGGTATGTGTAACACAGAGGTACCTGCAACAATTCAATTACCATATTATTTTACCGATGTCATCAGTCTGTGTCTGACGATGTGGGTGAAATTGTATTAAAAAAAAAAAAGAAAAAAACACTTGCTGTCATTGCGAGGACTAGAAGGTGCTTTACTGTGTGCTAAAGGAGATGAGCTTTTGTTCTTAAGATCTGTAGATGAGAGTCTGTGGAGAGAGTGGTAAGTAGTCTTTTGGTAGGCTCCTGTTAACCGCATGTCCTTCCTCTCAGCTGTGCCTATAATGTAGTACCACATGGATGTATGTTTTGGTAACCATTACTTGTGTTGCTCACCAGCCCAGGCTGCGGCTCCAAGGATGTCATTGCATGTCCCGCAGCCAGGAGGAAATGGCCCGCCTTTTGTAGGCGGGGTCTAAACCTTAATTAGGAAATTCAATCAATTCAATCCAGCTGGGCAATCTGGGCAATAGCCACAGTTGCAATAGCCATATACTTGCACTTGACAAGTGCTCTTAGGGATATCTGCTGTGTATTTTGTGTTTCTGTACTCTGTTTAGAGGAGAGTTCCTGGAACAAATGAAATTTGAGCAGAACAGAAATGTAGTCAGTGCAGATTATGTTGCTAGGAACTTTTTCTCCCACCTCCTTCTGATGTGACATAATCTCTGCTCTTTGGGGTGGCATTAAAAGAGGACAGTCATTGTGAAGTATCCTGAATAGCAACATGGAGCCAGCATGATAGGGCTGCAGAGTTTTGGCCCAAGACTAGAAAAAACTTTCTGTGACTGAACAACAGTTCAGTGTAAATTTTATTTGTGTCTGAAGCTTTCTGGATTGCGTTTAGAGAGCTGAGATAGGTGGAAGCTAAATGAGAGCAACAATGCAAAATGTCTGATCTTAGTGCTTTAAAGCTGAATGCTTGTTAGGTCTTTCAAAATTTGCATTAAATATTTCAACACGCCATTACTGGAGGAACTAGGAAGTAAACTCTACCCTGAGGGAGAATGTACAGAGTTGCGTTTCTGTGGTAGCATGTTAAGTTACCTTCTCAGAAGCTCCTTACATGGTAGTTATTTTTTAGCATCTTCAGGTACAACTTTTCTTGCAAAAATAGTGCTCTTGCCTGATTGGTAAGTTTGACATGAGTAGCTTTTAGTTGCAGAATTGTCCAGGTAGAGAATATTTTAGTAAGGATACACTTTGGGTGAAATGACTGTATGAAATTATGAAGAGGCAGCAACCCCATATATTGTGTCTATTTTATTCTTTAAATTTGACCAGTGACAGTTAGAAGGATCAGCAAAATGAATTCACAGTTCAGGTGGACTTGTTCAAAAACTAATCACAGGCATGGTGTATGTGGTGATGGTGAAATGTCGCTGTGAACTACGAATAACTCTGGAATGCTCCATTAGAAAAGAGTGACCTTCAATTGTCCCTGAAGTGAGCTTCAAACTTCTCCAAAGTTTGAGTTCACACCTGAGCATCACAGTCTGGATCTATCTGTAGTACAAAGTCTCAGAAACACTCTCGCCATTTATCATCGTCAGTATTACTGAATTTATATTAAAGCAATATTTAAAGACCTGAGGTTAGAATACCAAATCGATATGTAATATCCAGACCAATAATAAAGTATTGCCTGCTCTGTAAAGCCTGCAGCATAAGTATATATGGAGAATTCATAAATAAAGATAAACAACCTGGGGTATTTGAGCTTGAGGAAAACAAGGCAAAGGTGAAGAGAATTTTTTTGCAGTCAGTATTGATTAGCACAATACATTTAAAATGTGTATCTTGGAAGTTCTGAATAAAAGCCAGCTACCTGTGAACTCCTTGAGTCGTTTGCCATGAAATTCAGCCACAGCAGAATTATTCCCAATTTAGCATACAGACATCATGTCGTAGTTGGTCGTTTAATAAACAGTCTTAGTAGGAAAGTAGGAAGGATTAAAATATCCAGATTGCCATTGAAAATACTTATAAAACAATGTTCTTTTCAAATCTTCCCCAAAATATTAATGAATATTTTGCATTCACAAGAAGGAACTTCCTGAGTTGCATCAGGCAGAAATGCACAAAAGGCTGTGCTTAATTTTTCTGTTATCTTGTGAGAACACAACACGGTCACCTCAGACGCTCTGTCATTAAATGTCACCCCATCCTTCTTCAGCAAGCAGTTTGAAAGAAACCAAAAGAGTCACTCAGTAACTGGAGCGGTCAAACTGGCACTCCATGGTATTTTGGATGTAACCCTGTACATGGAAAAAATGTCCCACTGAAAATCAGAATAAGAAATGTGTAGATAGGCAATCAGCACTTTGTGTCCTGTAGGAAAGGTCTGCACGTAAGGGATGAAATTTTCACCCCATTTGGGTTCACAGCAGGCATCTGCAGCTTATTGAAGACATTTGTTTTATGCCTCTTATATTTAAATACCAGTTTACCTCATCTTTTGCATGGCCATCATCTGCCCACTTCTTAGACTGTGTCCTTGCTGAGTCCTTCTGCGCTTAAAGAGCTTGAGCATGGTTGGCACATGGGACTGACAGTGATACTGTCCCCAGAAAGAAATATGGAGCAGGTGGTTGTGTCTGAGCTGTGCTGCACCAGAGCTGCCCATACCTGGAAGCACTGCACGTGCTGAAGAGCCACAGAGACTGCCATAGAGCTCACATGCCCCTCTTGTCTTCTTTCCATTACTGTACTGAGCAGAAATGAGTCCAGTTTATGTGACAGGGAGCACCAAGTCTTCTGGGAGCTTCCAGTACTTTGGCAGTACAGATCAATCTCTTACCAAGATTTGTTGAAGAGCTATATAAAAATAACTTACCCTATCTTTTGACTTCTGTCTTCATTTTGTATATCTAAGGTGAGGGGACAACTTGAGAGATATTCATTTCACTCAGTTATGTTTCCAAATTGTAATAATAGACTGCAGGTAAGGAGGACCAGCAAAGCGCGAGATCACTGCCAGTAACAGAATGAAAACATTTTGGTTGCAATGTTCTGGACTCTGGTTGGAGTTGAGTGGCACCATATGAGGCAATTGTTTTAATTCTTGCCTTGCTTCTTTTCACTCTGTCTTTTAGAGCTGTTGGAAATAGCAGATTCTGATTATTAACTTCAGGAACAGTATTGCTACAGAACTGGTCTGCGATCTGTGCTAGATAGAGTTAATACAAAAAAACAATACTCTTCTTTCTACTCTGTGGATAAACTCTTATGTTGTGCTAGACTTCCTGACTTCCATTGCAAAGTTCAGCAGAGTGAAACATAATTCTCTCTGTTTCTCTTCTTGCGTGCATTTTAAACGCTTTCTTATACAGGGTCTGTTGATAACAGCTTTGTGTGAAAAGCTGCTTTTGGTTGCTTGAATCTGGAGTTGAGATTTTTAGACCCTTGCAAGATGCTGCAGCATAAATGGTAAAAGCTTCAGTTAATTTCTTCAATGTATTCATTAAGATTTGTGGGCTGCTCTTACGAAACACCTTGGCTTGCTTACTTGCTGGAGGATGTGAAAGTGCTTATGGTGGGAATTCACTGAAGGCTGCCAAGACAGCTCTTACCGTTTTGTGTGTATTTCTGACTCCATCTAATCAGCTTATGAAACTAAAAGATAGTTTAGTTCCCTCAAACCAAGGGAACTGGAGTAGAGAGGGTAGGGGAAGGTTTGTGAACACCCTGAGAGGATTTGTTGAAGAATATTTCTTGTGCTGTTTTACTCTACCTTTGGGTTGGAAAATAAATGTAAGTAAGCAACTAGTTGCAGCATAACCAACCTGATATGCAGTTTGCGAATGTTGATATAGCAGCATGCTGGTAAGTATGAATGGAAGTATGGAGGAAACTGATGGAAGATAAATCGGTGGATAAAGTTTGAAACAGCAAAATTCAGTTAAAAGGGTGAAAACGTTTTTGCTCATTTGAACTGTAGTAAATGTTAGCACAGGGTGTCCCTACTCCAGCAACAAGGCAATAATACCCTTAGTGCTCCTTGCTTGCTAGAAAAGCTTGAAGTGGATGGTTACGGACAAGAGCATTATCACAGCTGCTTTACTGTAGAGATAAATGGAGTTTCTGTAGGTTTTGCCAAAACCAGAAAGGAGAGAGAATCCACTCCCAAAGCAGCACCTTCGGTCTTTTAAGAAGTTAACAAATACAATCTGACAGAAGTAGAGGGAAACATATGTGTACTTAATCCCTTTGGGGCGAGAGGGGCTTTTTTGAATGTTCGTACGAAGTTTCTGTCAGTGCTTTGAGCTCTGTGCAGTAGCGCAAAGGTAAGGGAACAAACTGAGTCTGAAATTCCCATTGTACTTAGGCAGTGCCAGCTATCTTCCTGTGTCTGTGGACTGTGAGCGTCATGCTTTGAAAGGTG